TGAGATTATTAATATATAATTAAACTGGAGGCAAACTGAATACCTAGTTTTCTTGAGTTCATTATTTTTGGACTGGCCATGTCACTCAAATGTCTTACAATATTTTAAAGTGAAATATGTGTGCCTATCCAGTGTAAATTCGGGACAACTATTCTGAACTTCCATTTGTTTAGTCCTCTGAAAGCCAGAATCCTCATGGGATCTATGCCCGGATAGACTAAATTATTTAATTAACCTAAACTCAGCTATTAATCAAAGATTAATGGCAATCAGAATCGTTACATCTTATGCTTTTCATATTTTTACTGGAAAGAGATTTGTTTTTATCGCGATTGCTGCATTTTTATTTACTTCTGGCTCCATCATATAGATCGGACCTGCCCGTTTCTACCGACCTGATAGTTACCAGTAAAAACTTCTTTTGTACTGATAATAATAATATTTTTACTTTTGTGTACATATTTTCTGTTACAGTTTCGTCAATTGACCGGCGAAAAACATGAAAAAATTGGCCCTATGGTATTCAATATGTTAAAGTATGTTTATGTGTTATGCTTTTATACTTCTATAATCTCTTCTCGCCTAGCTTAATGTTAATATTGGCATTATATGGGAAATGGTTTGCATCTATTCTTATTAAGGGTCTTGAAATGCATTTCTTTTATAACATCGTCTGGAGTGTCCCCACGCTATCTGCATTCAGATGGACTTAAAGGCCAAAACGGAAAGGATTTTGCTGATCTGAACTTAAAATTTGCTGACGAGTTTGCTTTTATATGAAACAGATACGTTTATTCTTGTACTTATAATCTTAGATCTTACGAGCTAATTTGAAGCGCAAATTTATTGGCTTTAACATCCATTCGTTAAAAGATCTTAATAAATTATTTTTGTTACGTCTATAATATAAGTCACCTCTATTCTTACCTAATTTTACTGATTCCTTTAGACAAAATTTTTGCTATGGAAGTACTACAATGAAAAGCTAGTTTTCTTTTCATGTGAACATTTTCTTAATTCAAGAAGTGCAATGAGGGAGCATATTGAAGAAAAGCTATTACTTTTGACAGTATTGCTGTTTTTCTCTTCCTGCGCCATATTGGGTGATTGGGCTACCGGCCATTATTGTAAGTATGCGAACCCTTGCTGCTAGGCTCTAATCTTCTGAAATAATTTCAGTAGATTTTTTGTCATAATTATCTTGAGCTTGATCCATATATTGCCTTGAAAATGGCATGTTTGATTCCGAATTTTCTAAATATAGCAGCCATTCTTTATTGTTGTCTTCTGTAGCGCACGTGAATTATTAGTAATAGCAACCGGGTACCTATAGTTGACCTACCCTCTTGGCAGGTAGCCCCCAAAATCCTGTACTCGGGGAAGTCATATAAATTTGGCACTGTTACATCAGCTTTCCGGTCAATAATTCATTTGGGTTATTACATATTTAAAACAAATGTCTATATTTTATTGTAAGGCGTTTTTACAGGCTTGACTATCAACCAATTATTACTTATCGCTCTTTTTACTTTCATTCGGTAATAAGTCTGAAGCTGCTTAAAATTTATTCTCTTCATGTTTATTATTTAGTATGCCTTTTTTTAATTCTGTCCTTAGTTCAAAATTCGAAGAACCGTCCATTTCTGAAGGCTTTAGTGAGATTATCAAGATTCCATATATGCCAAATCCAGACTCAGTCTACGAACATTTATATTTTCAATACCTTCTCGAAAAGTGATTTTTGTCCATTACCACACCTACAAAGACATGCACCCTCCATCCTTATTCCATAATACCATACCAAATATTATTTTTTTTAATCAATAAATTTTGGCTCTATCAGTTTTCCTTAATTTCCAAAATTCGGTGCTTTTTGTTTCATTAACTACCCTTGATTTATTTGTGTTTTTTGCAAAGATGATTCATATTTCCTTCAATTTAAATCAGACATTACTTAAAGTAGCGAATGAATCAAAGTTAAATCCTATTAAGTCTTTTTTAGATTATTGAAACTCATTTCAAGCACAGGTTTATGGAAATTATGGACCAGTCTTTCGCTATTCTATGCAAGCCATTGCTTTTTAAGCGAGTTACTTGTTAGTTTTTACGTTTTCGTTTATCTTTTAGAGTTATGCGTTGTATTTTTTTTCCATTGTGCCATTTTCTCTGGATATTCGACTTACTTTTATGCGTTGCAATATTAGTTAGATTAATTTAAAAAAAATAATTAGTAATAGTCAATTGCGTTGCTATTTCAGATAAATTATTATTTATTTTTCGTATAAGTAGAGTTTAGAGACTACCAGTACATCTCATATAAGTTATTATTTATTTTAGAAGAAGGCTAAATGATAATGTCTGGATTATGAGTTTGATTAAGTAGATGAATTATCTATAGATCTTCTTTTATCACTAGAAGCTTAAGCTGTAGAACAAATTAGATTTTTCATATTTATAAACCTGCATCCGAACTCGGCATAATTTTGACC